GAACAGTATGGAAAGCCCAGAGATAAACCCATGCACCTATGGTCACCTTATTTTTGATAAAGGAGGCAAGAATATACAATGGAGAAAAGACATCCTCGTCAATAAGCTGTGCTGGGAAAACTGGACAGCTACATGGAAAAGAATGAAATTAGAACACTCCCTAACGCCATACACAAAAATAAACTCAAAATGGATTAAAGACCTAAATGTAAGGCCAGACACTATCAAACTCTTAGAGGAAAACATAGGCAGAACACTCTATGACATAAATCACAGCAAGATCCTTTTTGACCCACCTCCTAGAGAAATGGAAATAAAAATAAACAAATGGGAGCTAATGAAACTTAAAACCTTTTGCACAGCAAAGGAAACTACAAACAAGATGAAAAGACAACCCTCAGAATGGGATAAAATATTTGCAAATGAAGCAACTGACAAAGGATTAATCTCCAAAATTTACAAGCAGCTCATGCAGCTCAATATCAAAGAAACAAACAACCCAATCCAAAAATGGGCATAAGACCTAAATAGACATTTCTCCAAAGAAGATATACAGATTGCCAACAAACACACGAAAGGATGCTCAGCATCACTGATCATTAGAGAAATACAAATCAAAATTACAATGAGGTATCACCTCACACCTGTCAGAATGGCCATCATCAAAAAATCTACAAACTGTAAATGCTGGAGAGGGCATGGAGAAAAAGGAACCCTCTTGCACTGTTGGTGGGAATGTAAATTGATACAGCCACTATGGAGAACAGCATGGAGGTTCCTTAAAAAAGTAAAAATAGAACTACCATATGACCCAGCAATCCCACTACTGGGCATATACTCTGAGAAAACCATAATTCAAAAAGAGTCATGTACCACAATGTTCACTGCAGTTCTATTTACAATAGCCAGGACATGGAAGCAACCTAAGTGTCCATCAACAGATGAATGGATAAAGAAGATGTGGCACATATGTACAATGGAAGATTACTCAGTTAAACTGAAATGAAATTTAGTTATTTGTAGTAATATGGATGGTCCTGGAGTCTGTCATACAGAATGAAGTAAGTCAGAAAGAGAAAAACAAATACCGTATGCTAACACATATATATGGAATCTAAAGAAAAAAAACAAAAATAGTTCTGAAGAACCTACGGGCAGGACAGGAATAAAGACGCAGAGGGAGAGAATGGACTTGAGGACACGGGGAGGGGGAAGGGTCAGCTGGGACGAAGTGAGAGAGTGGCATGGACATATATACACTACCAAATGTGAAACAGACAGCTAGTGGGAAGCAGCCACATAGCACAGGGAGATTAGCTCCCTGCTTTGTGACCACCTAGAGGCTGGGATAGGGAGGGTGGGAGGGAGATGCAAGAGGGAAGAGATATGGGGATATATGTATATGTATAGCTGATTCACTTTGTTATACAGCAGAAACTAACACACCATTGTAAAGCAATTATACTCCAATAAAGATGTTAAAGAAAAAAAAAAAGACCTGGGCAGAGAGCAGGCAGACGCCCTGTGAACCAGGAGTAAATATTTGGCAGCAATCTATACAGGACTCAGGGGGTTCTCCATCCATTCACCATCAGCCCCCCTCCACCACATAGTAGCCCAATGGGGGAGAACCTGAGAACTCCTGACAACCTAGGGCTCTGCCCAAGGTAGAGTACAAGTGTGTCCACTGTGCTGAGGTCAGGAAATAGAAGCATGTGGAATTAGGAGGAAGGAAACAAAAGAGCCAGCTCCACCTTCTACTTACATGGACAGCAAAACATCTCTGACAACTCATCCCTTGGTTACAGAACAGCCACAGGGCCTCAGGAGTCTGGATGAGTCCCTGCTCAGACCCAACAAATCCTTTTGTAACTTTTGAAGCAGTAACATAAAAGCATTAAAGTTGGCTACACAGATGGTCACACATGCCCAGAAATCACCTGACTGACAGGCTGCAGGGAGCCAAGACCTTCACCTCTGACGGAAGTGACCAATGCTTTGCTTCCGGCAGAGATTAATACCTGATTCTTCTGAGGACCAAAGAGGAAATATTAAAACTGAAAGCCCTTGGCTACCATCAACAATTGTACGCTAGTATCAACAGAGGAAAATAATTTCCTTCCTGACTCCCGCTAGGCCAGTCACGCCTAGAGCAGGTGTGATTATCTATTCAAACAATGCAAGTCTCAAACGGCTAGACTATAGCTTCTAGGGAATTTCTCAAAGCACTGAGACTTCCTCAGTCTCTGAATCTACCTCCCTCCACCTCCTGCTGCCTAGAGCAAAAACAAATATGGAAAGTAATCATGATACACAACTTCATCTCAACTTCATCCATGATCATTAAGCTAGGTTCCAGGTCTAGCTCCTTTCCAAGACTGCGGACAAATTACTGCCCATCCGGTCCTGGGGATGATGTGGGTACAGAGTTGGAAGGAAGGACACACACTGAGCATATACTATGCACCAGGAACAGTGCAGGGGATTGCACATTCCATTGTCTTATGTTTCTTTATATTCAAGATCAATATTTTTCTTTATTGTCAATGTCTTATTTTTCTTTATATTCTTTATGTTGAAACTAAAGAAGGAAACAAGTGTAATGACCTATCATGTATGGACCACACTTTACAGTTTGCAAAACAAGTTGGCATCTATCAACCCACTTGCTCTAAACAAACACGAGAGGTGGGCAGGACAACGATTATTATTCCTAATTCTCTGATCAGGGGAATGAAGGTGGAGGGATGTTGTTTTCGAGGGTTGCACATCTAATATTTGGCAGGTCTTCTGATACCCCATGCCACCATACTCACTGCCTTTTTATGCACTCGCAAACTTCTTAAGGTGTACTGGTCCCAGAAGCCTATTTCTGTCCAGTTATTTGTTTCATTCTCATAAAACCATGAAGTTCAGCCTCATCTGTGCTAGAATTCCTAAAGCTTTCCAACAGAGAATTGGCCAGCACCTGATAGAACACCCTCAGGAAAAGAGCCAGTCACTACCTTTGGATTTAGTCTTTCTATCCAGGAAAATGCACTGTGCACCTATTACGTGCCAGAGATCCCACTAGCCTGTGGAGCTACACATATGAGCAGGAGATGCTGCCCCTCTTCTGACTGCATTTTATATTCTTAAAGGCCATTGTCACGTGTGCCCTGCATCCTGCCTTTACCGGTCTCATTCCTGTAACAGTGGGACATCATTTCCGGTCCTCTCAGCATCCTAGTGTGGAGAGGCCAGTTGGCTAACGTCCCTTTCAGAGGAGGAGGCAAGGACTAAAGTCCAACACCCTAGGAGAGCCCCAACAGAAGGGTAGAAAAAAAGGTTTATGGTCGCCCACAAAGCCTTAGTCCTCTCTCTGCCCCGTATCAGCACTCACATACTCTTCGGAGGAACCACCTCTTCTCCACTGTGTAGCTGCCATAAGCTTCCAGGCAGGCAGCCAGCTCGTGACCAAGAGGGGAAACATCCTGAGGATGAAGCCAACACACACACAAGAGGGCAGAGCAAGGAGCACTGCAGAGAAACGGAGCCCAGGTCCTGCTCAAACTGAGCCTAAGGCCCACCTGACCTCGGGACTTGCCAGCTTCTGGCAGGGTCACCCACCCACGTCGTTCTCTCTGTACTGCAATCTGAGGCTGCGTCAGTGTTTTGGAAGACCACTGCTGGCTCATAATTAGCTTATGGACAACAGACGCTTCTGAGTTTCTTCCAACGTGCTCCTGGTAAGGTGCTCTCTCCCATTCTGTCACGACACACTCGATTTTTTGTTTGAATCCAAGTACAAGGCTTCATATTCATCACAATTTAATTTTAAGCACTGAAAAAACTCAGGCAGTAGAGCAGAGAACAAAGGTTTACATCTGATGCTCAAAGTATATGCTTAGGGCAAAACATCTCAGACCATGTTTGAAATGTTAACAGAGTCCAAGCAGTGGTTTCCAGCCTTTCATCTTATGCAGATCCATAAGTGCAAAGAACACTGGGTGTTCTTTAAATATACATGGATTAAGAAAGCAAAGGGTGACAAAATGTAACTGGAAACTCAGCCATACTTTTAAATGAAATTAGGTTTTATGGATCACAACAGCATCTGCTCCCTTTTGAAAAACTACACCATAAACATGGCAACACATATTATTTATCTGGTAAAAAGCCAGAGGTGGGGCATATAGGGACTGGCCCTGGAGATGGAGAGCAAAAATCTAGAATTCTAAACAGAAGCCTTTCCCAGAATCCCCCAGCTATTTTCCTCGGATCCCCCTACAGCCCAGGGTATCCCACACCATCGATTCTTTTCTAGAATACGATGTTCTACCTGCTATAAACACAGAGGAATTCCAAAACACAAGGGAAAGTTTCCCTTACCTGCTCACCATTCTCCTTTCTCAGTGTGCAACAGGATTCCAAGATTCAAACTCAGATCCCTGTGGAGCCCGTGCAGGCCCTTTAAGACACAGGTGCACACCCTTGACTAAGCGAATTTAGCTTCCCCTACCTCAAAGGGTTGATGTGAAAATACAGTAAGATCACAGAAGAAGCATCTTGCACCGGGGAGAGCAAGAGCCGCTCAATACTAGTAATTCTTTTCCTCAGAAACGCCCACAACACTGTTCATTGACACTTTCTTTCTGGTCCTTCAATTTCAAGAACACTTCCCTCCATGACAAAGGAGAAAGAAGGAAGCAATGCAATTATTGGCAATCTAAAATCCTCATTCGTCCAAATCTTCTTCCAATTTTCTCTTCCTGCCACCTTCCAAGAGCTGAGTCCTGCCTTTGCTTTGCCACACATTCTATTAGCATTATTATATCCTGTCCATTGCCAATGAACTCGGCTCAAGAAGACAGGAAGAACATTTTTGTTCTTCTTAGTTCTTAGCCCATCCTAGTTACCAGTGCCCATGCTTTAAATGGAAACCACTGCTTTTTAAAACTCATTAAAATATGCATATTGATTACAAAAGGAAAAAGGTTTCTTCTTTGCATAGGACTCACCAACTGCGGACAGATATCTTCCCTCCGATGAGTGTCCTGCAGAACAACAGAGAAAGCACTGAACTGGAATCAGGGGACTGGATTCTGTCTTCAGTTCCGCTTCCTCAATGTTCCCACCTGTGCAAATGGGAGAAGAAGGTTGCTTATGAATCTCTAGGATCTTACCAGCTGTAGAACTTCCCAAGTTTATGAACTTACTGGGTAAACCATACTGGGAATGAAGACCAGGCTTGAAACCCGCAAATCTAGTGGCTGACCTCGGTATCTCCTGAGCGGCCAGTCAGCTCCTCGCACTTCTATTTCACTAATGTGCCTTAGAATGATGAGGAAAGAGAAGGCTGGTACCCCAGTGTTCATACCTCAGCTTTCGGGGGGAATATGGCTTCATCATAATATCAGAAGTGAAAGAGATAGATCAATTAGATACTCACATTTTAGGCAAGAAAAAATTAACAGCAAAATCTGAACTACAATAAATAAAAAGAGACAAGGAGTATGAGTTTGGAGATAGATTTCTAACTATGGGATCTAGTGGTCGCTGTGAACCTCAGTTTCCTTGCCCAAAACATGAGAGCCAGTGAGCAGCAGAGGGCTGGACACCTTGATGCTTCCTGGGAAGTCCTCATTACTGGAGGACTTTATTTATTTCATTAAGAACAATCAGTTTCATTAAGAACAATCAGTGATTCTGCAATATATATTCCAACAGACAAGTATTCCAGGGTAGCTGGTTGTTACAAAACGTGTCTTCTGTAGACCCAGGGGAAATCCACATACCAGAAAAATGACTACTCCCATTTTCGTTGCTGTCATTTTAAACAGTATTGAACCAATCATACAACTGTTTTGTGAATATGATCCCATTCAATCTTCAAATACCTGTACAAGCTCAAAGTTGAGAGAGACCTTAAAAATGACCCACTTCAACTCTTCCAACTGACAGGAGAAGAACCTGGGGGCCAGAGGAGGGAGGTGGCCACGCAGGAGCACACCATTAGTGAGTGGCAGGCAGCCCAGGGCTCAAGTCCGGGGCTCGCTCCACTGGACCGAGGTACGGCCACTGTAACAGAAGAGGTCACCGACACTCGCTGGCAAGAGACCTGCCATCAGCCACGCAATCAGCTTCAGAGGAAAACCAGGACTTACACACCCAGACCTCAGAACACCGGCTTCAAAGCTCCTGCATAAACACATGAAAGAATGCTCACCATCACTAATCATTAGAGAAATGCAAATCAAAACTACAATGAGGTATCACCTCACACCTGTCAGAATGGCCATCATCAAAACATCTATAAACAATAAATGCTGGAGAGGGTGTGGAGAAAAGGGAACCCTCTTGCACTGTTGGTAGGAAGGTAAATTGATACAGCCACTATGGAGACCAGTATGGAGGTTCCTCAAAAAACTAAAAATAGAACTACCATGTGACCCAGCAATCCCACTACTGGGCATATATCCTGAGAAAACCATAATTCAAAAAAAGTCATGTACCACAATGTTCACTGCAGCTCTATTTACAATAGCCAGGACATGGAAGCAACCTAAGTGTCCATCGACAGATGAATGGATAAAGAAGATGTGGCACATATATACAATGGAATATTACTCAGCCATAAAAAGAAACGAAATTGAGTTATTTGTAGTGAGGTGGATGGACCTAGAGTCTGTCATACAGAGTGAAGTAAGTCAGAAAGAGAAAAATAAATACCATATGCTAACACATATATATGGAATCGTAAAAAAAAACAAAAGGTTCTGAAGAACCTAGGGGCAGGACAGGAATAAAGACGCAGACAGAGAGAATGTACTTGAGGACACAGGGAGTGGGGAGGGTAAGCTGGGACGAAGTGAGAGAGTGGCATGGACTTATATATACTACCAAATGTAAAATAGCTAGCTAGTGGGAAGACGCCGCATGGCACAGGGAGATCAGCTCCGTGCTTTTTGACCACCTAGAGGGGTGGGATAGGGAGGGTGGGAGGGAGACGCAAGAGGGAGGAGATATAGGGACATATGTATATATGTATAGCTGATTCACTTTGTTATACAGCAGAAACTAACACACCATTGTAAAGCAATTATACTCCAATAAAGATGTTAAAAAAAAAAAAAGTTTTTGCATATAGCCCAACAGCAGAAAAAGACTAAGTTGGGAAAATGGAGTATAATCAAGGTGAGTCCAGCAAAGCAATGTGTTTCCTGAGAGCTAGCGCTCTTGACGGGCATTCGAAATTTCAAAGCCATCTCACTAAAATGAGAGAAAGGCATAATTTCAAACTTGCTGAGGGGATGGAATGTGAGGAGTCCAACACTGGCTCTGTGAACAGTAAAATCTCAAAAACAATAAATAAATAAAAACAAAAAGACCCCACCTCCAAGCCCCAGGAAACCTAAGCTTCTCCTTGCAGAGGGAGATATCAATCATACCCTTTCTACAACAGCAGCAAAGGGCAGCTGACTTCCCAGATTTTCAAACCTGGGAAGCTGAAAGGTAAAGCTCTCCACCTTGGGCCTGGGGCAATGTCTCAGGCACTGGCTAGCTTCTCTCCATGCACAAATGAACAGGGTTACCCTTTTCCACTGTCAACTTTTCTTCTAACAATTTTTTTTCTTCTTTTCCATAAAGAGAACAAGCAGTTCTGCTAAAAAACCACTGTGAAATGATTGAAGTTCTCATGCAAACAAACCATTAGCAGAGTTCAAATGCAATTTAAATTACCAGTTGTTAAAGTGCGCCTCGATTTCTCTGTAAGTTTCCAAGGAGAATTACATACTATACACCATTTAATTGGTTGTTTTCTATTTTTTAACATCCATTTATTCCCCCCCCCATTTTATTTTCAGAAGTGTCTATAAAAGCTTCCCTTTAAAAAATTATACATTGTTGAATAGATTAAACCTGAAGATTGGAAAGTAGCAGAGAAACAGCTGCAGGATTACGCAGCTCAGCAGAAACTGATGGTTCTGACACCACAAGACATGCAGAGTTTTAAAATCTTAGGAGTCACCTGATGGTGCCCTCACTGTTTACAGATGAAGACGTTGAAACCCTGAAAGGGAAAGGGAGGCTTGGCCCAAGTCCTCTCACTGGTCAGTGATAGGCGCCAGGTGAGAACTCCCTACCTCCCAGCCCCGTGCTGCCTCTTCCCACTACCACATGTTGGAGGAGATGATGGGAAATGCTCAACAGATTTAATTTCCACCTGTAATTTTTTTTCTTAAAGAAAATATGAAGTCATCTTCAAATACACCCCTGACCTCAAAAGTGCAGCTGGCCAATGGCAAATATCTCCCCAAGAGGGAGAAAGAGAAGTACAGGCTGATGAATGAGTGCCGTCAAAGGAGCTCCAAATGAGCAGATTCCTGGCAGGAAAAGTCAAGACACTCTTCTAGACTCATTAAACAAGTTATGGGACATTAAGACTGCCGATTTCCATTGCTTTATCTGGCCCAGAACTTGTGGCTGCCCTGGAATGAAGGGATAAAGGCAGGTCTTGTCACTTCTGTAAATGGAAAGGTTTTCTAGAGGCCATCACAAGTACAGGGCGAAGTTCAAGGCTTTGCTATGGGACCTGTGTAAATTATTTAACCTCCCTGAGCTCAAGCTTTCCTGTCTTCAAAGTGGGGCTAATATCACCTACCCATCAGGGTGTATGAAATCATTTCTTGGGATGCCGTACCCAGCATGCAAAGCACAGAGCCTGCAGGCAGTGTGCATTAATCAATTCTCACCCCCTCATCTTCCAAAGCTTCTATCTACAAATACCCAAAGCCTATGGTTCTGTGGTTCTAATTTATTAGAACTATAACTGAGCCTTATAAGCCATGTATGTTCACTAGGCCTGCTAGATACTGTGTGTCCCCTGACTGTAAATTCATTTATTTCGTCATCCAAAAAATAAAACAAAATACATGCCTGAAAACTTACACATCCATGCATTTTCCACCAAAAGCAAACTCTTTGGAACCGCTATCTAAAAATGTCCTTCGAATCCAATTGATGAGCCAGACAGTAGTAAAAACCCCAATTTAATGCCCAAGACCTCATTTCAACTGTCCATCAGCCCTATGAAAAAGATTTCCCAATTGTCCACTGAGGAAACTAAGGGTCAGGGAGGTCAAACAACTGTCTAAGATTTGGGGGCTAGTAAATGGTAAAGCCTTTGACCCCAAGTCTTCAAAATCAAGCTCCATGACCTGTGTTTTATTATTTTGCAGTTAAAACTATACTATGGACAGCTGTTCTGCTAGAGGCAGAAATATACCTGGAAAAAAATCTTCTGCTGTGTTCACATTTTAAAACAAAGTCTGAACTTGCAAACTAAAAAGTGTTCACATTAAAAGCAGATAGATCCTTCTTGAATGTCACCCTGCTGTTATGGTCTTTTTTTTTAATTTACTTTATTGAAGTAGAGTTGATTTACAATGTTGTGTTAATTTCTGCTGTACAGCAAAGTGATTCAGATATATATATGTATGTATATATGTATATTCTTTTCCAATATGGTTTATCACAGGATATTAAATATAGTTCCCTGTGCTATACAGTAGGACCTTGTTGTTTATCCATTCTATATATAATTGATTGCATCTGCTACTTCCAAATTTGCAATCCATCCCTCCCCCACCTCCCCTTCCCCTTGGCAACCACAAGTCTGTTCTCTATGTCTGTGAGGCTGTTTCTGTTTCATAGATAGGTTCTTTTGTGTCATATTTTAGATTTCACATGTAAATGATATCATATGATATTTGTTTTTTTTTTTCTGACTTACTTCACTTAGTATAGTAATCTCTAGGTCCATCCATGTTGCTGCAAATGGCATTATTTCATTCTTTTTTATAGCTGAGTAGTATTCCATTGTGTATATACAGCACATCTTCTCTATCCATTCATCTGTCAATGGACTTTTAGGTTGTTTCCATATCTTGGCTATTGTGAATAAGGCCGCTATAAACATAGGGGTACACGTATCTTTTCGAATTATAGTTTTGTCCGGATATACACCCAGGATTGGGATTGCTGGATCGTATGGAGAAAAGGGAACAACCCTACATTGTTGGTGAGAACATAAATTGGTGCAGCCACTATGGAAAACTGTATGGAGGTTCCTCAA